ATTACTGTATATTTCATATAGCTTCGTTGCTTCCAATTTAGTTTTAACTATAGAAACTTGTGACTCTTCAAACTTTACCTAAAATGGTCGTTGTGAAGTCTTTCTTGAATGATTTTCATGTATCTTATCACAACATTTAAAACGATATCTGTTACATACAGTTAGTTTTACAAATGATTTTGTGCAAATGAATGACAGATTTCTGATTTTCACTCAATAATTCAAAAGGGTTCGTCTAGAGAAACACATTCGAGGGGTCACTATCCACTTCAAAATTGAAACCAGATTGTAAAAATGTAGAAAATAGAATATAGCCAAAGGTCCTGTCTTGGAAGTTGCCAAACAAGAGATTTTCCATTATGGTTATGATTTCCCTTTCAACTTACCTTCTGAAAACCTACGAATATTTCCAAAACTAGGCGAAGATATTATTCTTTGTGAACCTTGTGCGGATTTCATTTTGTAGTTGTGCGTTTTGTCTTGTGTCTTGCGGCCCGGAAGCCTCTCTGATCTTTTCTCGAGATAAACCTGACAACATTCTGCAAAGCTTGGGGACGGCCCCTCCCCCCCCCCCCCCTCTTCTCTCTTTCTTTCGCATCTCTGTACATTGTAATGTTGGAGGCTTTTCATACATAATATTTGGAGGCCCCATTCGCCACAGGCTTTTGTAAGTTTTCTAAGCAGTCTCAGCAGAATTTAAACTTTTCTGTTATTATGGTTTTGAAATTAAAAGTTCAATAGGCTGACTGATTTCTCCTACCTTGGGAGTTTTTAAAAGATTTTAGGACCTATAAATATTACATCCACTTTATGAGGACTTTTAATTTTCGTGCAATAGATAATGAAAATAAATATGGCACCTCCTTTTCAAAAGCTGTTATCAAATGACACTTGATAATTTAATAGAAGGTCTATACAAATTTGGTACGCGGTGTATGGTCTGTACATCAGTATAACATCAGGTAGAGATGGATATTTTTACTTACTCTTGACTATGGGACCACGTTGTATGTGTTATAATAAACATATAAAATGTATTTAATAAACAGCTGCACATGTAATTCATGTATGTATATGTAAATTATGCTTGTTTCCATTGTCAAGTGCCCTATTTGTTACAAAGTTTAAAGATTCAAAAGAACATCAGAATTCTGAGAATCAATATAATAGTTCATGATAAACGATAGACGTACAGGAAATTACATTTATCTCAACTATATATCGAAGCTAAGCCAGGGTTTGAAGTAGATCTTCCTGTGTTTCGTCGTGCCATGACAGAAAGTAAAACATGACAGCTTCGAATTCCAAAATTCATCCTTGTCTGCCGTCTATTGGCGAGAGTTAACGAATTGGGAAGAGCAAACCAGAGCGGGCGAAGGACCTGCTCTGTTCCAAGTCTAGTCTAACAAGACCACGTTCAGCGCTGTATTCGTTATGTTGGAGTGTGCTTCGTTGGTGCGATGAGGGCGTTGCAACCAGAACCATTCCGTCGTTGAACTCGATGGCGGATATGGGAAGTGACGTGGTCGGGAAGTCGTTACTTACCCCGACATCTCGACCACGATTGGCCGGGTAATGGAAGGCTTCCTCGGGGTTTGAAAGCTAGACTACGGTGTCCTCAATTCTATGATCACTGTGATCAAGTCCAATAAGTCCCGGTGGCAAGGCGATACCTCTTATAATAATCCACGCCAAATTTGCGGCTGAGGTCTTGAATTGAATCTCAGGAGGGGGTCCTAAGTCACTGCGAGATCCTGGCCGAGTTTGAAGGGAACGATAACACAAAAGGGGTCGAAGATACGAAGAGGGGCTCTTCTGGTGGATGGGGAGAGGGATGGGTGAAGGAAGAGAGTAGGATGGAGACGTAGAGAGCATGAAGAACAGGGAAGGACACAGGTTTAGAGGGGGTCACATGTATGGAAAGATTGTAGATTACAGGGGGAGGTCGTTGCCCCCTTCTACCGATACAAGACTCATTCAAAACATGATAAAGGAAGGTAGAAAACCACACCAGCGAATGCAATAACGTGAAAAGAATACTTACCTTCGCCCTTTCCAGACTGGTTTAATGTCCAATCATACGGACAGAAATATAAAGTGAGGTGGACAATCAAAGAGCCCAAAAAACAAGTTTGACGGACAAACTTTGAGAAGTAAAGAGAGATGGGGGAATGAATAACATAATCACAAAATCAGAAACCAGAAATTGGGAGCAAAGAGTGGAGAGAGTGAGATCAAGATTGGCTGACTTTTGACCTTTGTACCCCTGAAAACCCAAGCTACGTCCCACAATGACCTGGAATAACCTGGCAGCCCTGAGTAGACTAGAACACAGTCTGTGTGGTACGACCCGACAAGTAGGCGTCTTCATCTTATTGACATAACGAACAGGAATTTTTATCAAAACTTGCCATTATTATCGTAATTTTTTGTCCTCTTTCCCCCTCTTTTTTTTCTATTACAATATCGCTCTTTCTTTGATTCTTTGGGGCAAATTATGACAGGTTTGGTAATTTTATTTTGGTAGCAGTGGTAAGGATCGAAGCTGGTAGCTTTTCTCGATTTGGACAGCTTCTTGGAGGAGTGTCGATTATGAAAATGAATTATGATTCATAGTCCAAGAATGATGCAGAAAATCTAAGGAATGTTTTTACCTCCTTCCTGTATTGGTATTGGGCAATCGTATTCTGTTGTTCTTGCGAAAGAGTAGATTCGAGTTATCTTATAATACTGGAGACTTTTTTTAACCCATGCTGTATAACGGTGTGACGAAAACTGATTTTCTTTTCTACCACCATTATTTTTAAGGTACCCATCATTAATTTCTTGCAAAATAATATGTCCTTCATTTATTTTTTTGGTGATTAAATTAGGCTAGTAGTTTTTATATCAATCATTCGACTCATTATTTTGAAAAGTGAACGATTACATTTCCCTATTACATTAAATGTATTCGTTATTATCATCATTATAATGGGTAGTATTAGTATTAGTAGTAGTAGTAGTAGTAGTAGTAGTAGACGTAGTAGTAGTAGTAGTAGTAGTAGTAGTAGTAGTAGTAGTAACGGTAATATCATTATTATTATTATTATTATTATTATTATTATTACTGTTTTATTGTTGTTAGTGTTGTTTAATATTTATATTATTATCACTATTATTATCGTTTTTATTGTTATTGTTATTATTATTATCATTATCATTATCATTATTATTATCATGCTTGATATTGCTTTTATTATTATCATTATTACGATCACCTTCATGAACTTGATCATCAGTTTATGTATTTCTAAATCTCTAAGTTAGAATTATCTAATATAAACATTTAAATCATTATTAAGTCTTTAAGAGAGATAGCTGCCCTTTAAAACAGCTGAATAAATGTATTACATTTCATCCTCCTTATCTCTTATTTTTTGCCAAAGTGCAGTGATGCTGAAATGAGATAATTATACAGAGAAGGAGTTTCTGGTTTTGAGGTTTTGAAACATTTATGCGGCTCGTCCTCAGTTTTCTCTCCACGTCTTATCGATCCCTTGTTGGATTTCAGTTTTCATGCGTAACGTTATCTCAATACACAGACATTTATCAAATTTTTGCCTTACGCGGCATTCTCAATTGACTCATTTGGTATTAGGCTGACAATCGCAAAAATGATCATCAGTCTTGATGATTATCGCGCTATGACATTTATTGCGTCTCTCTCTCTCTCTCTCTCTCTTCTTCCTCCCTCTCTGCACTAATATTTGCAGTGATTAATTGCTAATGTCTCTCATATCTTTCCGCCACCGTGGCCATATACATTAACCCCTGCTTTTGCTGGTGTACTGAAGAGGCTATCTTTGATAAAAAGGCATTCATCGTGAATGCTGTGCCCATAAATTAGAAATCACGACGCTCATCTCTTCGTTCACTTCAATTACCCCCCCCCCCCCCCCCCCCCCTTGCACTGTTTTCTAAATCACTTCGTTTAGGGTATTTTAGCTTCCAGTAAATAAATTAGTTTCAAATGATAAATATGGGTGTGCAACATGAAAACAGATTTTGGCTAGAAATTTCACCAAGTCGTATCAAATGAGCTTACTTTTGCTCCTATATTAATCGTCCAATTCAAGATCATCGAAAATGCCCCAGCTCAAAATAATCACACACTGTGGTTATTTTTAAACCAGTGTATGAGATTACTCTGACATCAACGTCGAGGTATATACATAGTGCATGATAACTGGAAACTTTTACGTCGAAAGATCCCCCCCCCCCCCACCCCCTGGTTCTCACTCCACCATTTCTCCTTTCCTCTTTGATGTAAACTTGACTCTAACGGCAAATTCATCTTTGACAACTGATTATTGCATCTACTTTATTGAATACACATATGTTTTTTTTTTTTTTTTTTTTTTTTTTTGGGGGGGGGGCACCGTTTATCATGAAAGCACTTCCTCCGTCTCTCCCCACCTTCTAATATGAGGATACATCAAATTATAGGGGTCGCTTCTCATTTAATATATTTTGTTATAGTTTAAAACAGATTATAACATCAATCATGCCATATATATATATATATATATATAGCTCTATTTATGATAACATGAGCCATTTTTGTTAGAGGTTGTTGTCGAAAGTATTATACAATTTCAAAGTAAACGATAAACATGTATCATTTACCTTCTACTTCTTAATCTTCTTCTTCTTTTCCTATTCATTCCTACATTTTGAAATATGTTTTGTATATATCATACTCCTACTGTAGTTATCTTTTTCGTAAATGATATCTGCTCTACCATGCTTGCGGAGAAAGCGTAATAAAGGTTTTCAGTGGCATTTTCCTCTGTAGATGTCATACATGTAGGTGGGGATGGCCGCAGCGAGATTACATGAAAATGATAGAGCGGGACTACGTTAAAAATAACCACGTTAAAATTAGATATGTGGGACTGATGGGGAAATTTGAGGGCAAGATCTCACCTACATCTCGCATGGTTTGGCTATATTTTCAGATACCCACGGATGAACGTTTCTCAAGGTTAGCCCAGGGAGACTATTTCACGAATATGAGGGCGCTTTTCCCGGCCAAGGTGAGAATACAGATTACTAATCATAATTTCTAGGGAAACTAAACGAATTTTAACAACCAACCAGACATGGTGCGATTTCAATGACAGCATGTGAATACTAGATGTTTAGGTGACCACATCTCCTTAATGAAATAGGCTGATTGGGGATAATAATTAAAGATTACAATTTACAGACATGGAGGGAAATACTTAATTTTACTAAATGAGGGGTTCCTCTAACCTTGCTCATGATGTTAGCAGTCCCGGGAATACAAGACTTCACGTTTTTGTCAAACTTATTTGTTGTAGATTGATAAACTAACTGTAGATTATCGTTTTGTCAAAATGCTACATTGTCTGTCTGACAGAGCCATTCACGTCACTGTTTGAGCTCGCGTGGGCCTTTGTTTTGAGATTGATCCTCGTCTTGCCCCAATTAGCCGAAATATACAGACTTGATTTTTGTCTCAAGGGTCCCATAGGTTTACGCGCGTGCTGGGTACAGCTCAATATCTCACGTGTTTAGTAGAATGTGCTGTAGTAGAGTTGATTCGTCGAGATGACAATTTTCACGCCCAACCTCTTCCCCACTTTTCCGGCTGTGATGTAATGCCGATCTAGTCAATATCCTGCGTGTATTATTGAATCTGTCTCGCTGGGGAGCTGGGATGCGTTCATCCTTGAGATACCTGGAAATAGGTTATGCAAAAGCACGTCTAAGGTGCGAGCACACCTGTGGAATTCCTAGTTACCTTGAAACGGAAAGTCTGTTTATACCTGCGACTGCTACGCAAGACATGATGAGAAAATATTTATATTCCGTGCGTGAAATTGAAATATATTGACACATTTTAGCAGCTCTATATTTCTCGGCAATCGATCAAAGACCATTAGCATTATTATCTAGACTCCTGTTTGCTTTCATAGAGTTTTTTTATGGGCAAGAATACGGTTGGTTTATTGTAGACCTATTCTTTCCTTTACTTGTTTACAAATGCACTAAAAGGCGGATCGATCATTGATACAGTCCAATTTTATAAAATCAACACGTTTGCAATAAGTAACAGGAAAATAACAGTGACCTGGTGAGACGTTGAAGGTAGTGCCAGTAATTCTCTAAATATCGGTCTCTGTCTGTTTTTTCTGTCCCCCTATCTCTCTCTCTCTCTCTCTCTCTCTCTTCCATTGTCTTATCAATATCTCTCGCTTTCATTACCAATGTATACTGTCCTTAGATGCATCCACTACAAAATATTGATATCGACAAAATTATGAATAAATACTTAAAATTAATTACATAAAATAAGCGCCATGTACTCTAGGTGTCTGCATGGCCCTGCTTTTTACTGTTTTATCCAACCCTCCTGTATTCTTACAATTTTTCTCCTCGAAATGCTGTGTTTAAGAATCCTTATTATTCACTCCTCACCCTCTTATACCACTTTCCTTACCCCCCCCCCCCACACACACACAAGCCCCTACTTATTTCCCACCCTGAAAATACGATTTGACATCACCAGTAGTCGGAGTCGGTAGCCAGGTTGTCGCACATGAGGGCGGCGGCTGATGGACAGGATTTAAGCTAGATTGTCGGACCACCAACCGTACGGCTTTCTGGGGTATTTTCTCTCTGCCTGTTTGTTCTCGTTTACCCTCCTTCTCTTCTTCCCTCTCTCTCTCTCCATTGACTTACCAAAGCATCTGGATAGTTAACAGGTAATGACAAGAGCCTATGATGGAGGAGATGACGGAGTAGCCGTCTTCTACCCCTCTACCATCATCTGCAGCCGGTCATTTACCCCTCTCCTACCCGCTCTCCTTAAGTCCGACCTAAGTCTAGAGATGAAAATTAACCACACTGGTAATACGAAATTGGTTAAGTGATGGACAGGGGTGGAAAACACCAATATCTTACCCCTCCTTCAAAAGGGAACATCCAGACGTTAATGTCAATTGTGGTGTGTTGTTTATCCTCACCAAAACATACGAAGAATATAGCTTACCACCATTATCACCATTCTGTAAACATCATGTCAGCATTTGAATACTTCTTACGCGGAATGAAAATAAATATATGCCTTGGGAATTACTACTTAATTTCCATCTGCGATTGTATCTAACTATCTACTTTATTATTATTGTTTAAAATCATGATCTTATATCTATGGCTTGAAACACTCACAATATGATACGATTTTTTAACCCAAAGTATGATTAATATGACGCAAACTAAATGCAAATTAAAGCCATTAGTGGCACCTCGTTTATTTTGTTGTTGATGGTTTACGTTTGATGGCGAATGCTTTCCGTGGGATTTGTTTCGATGGAAGATCATCAGAGCCTTCCCATCAGAAAATAGGTATCATGTCCAAGTTCAAAGGTTAAGGTCGCCAGCGATGCCATTCCTAATGTTGGTGTTAAATGAGCCTAAACGAATGCAACAACAGTTTTTTGTTCAACAGATCATGATTTTTTTTTGGAGGAAGATTAGGAAAGGGTCCTAGTCCATTTAATACGCCAGATAGACCCTATTCAGTGACGAAGCTTGAGAGCACTTCTTTATTGTGAATGGCGTTCAAAGGCAACAACTGCCTGCCCTTTTCGCCATCTCTTATCCTCTCTGTAATCTTTCGCGATCGAAAATGAAGTATTCATGATTGGGCTAAATGAATGCCTTTCATCTAAGGGGTGGCGTTTCCATTATACATGTTCTAGGGTATGAATTAAATCGCCGGGGTGTGGGCTAATTGCCCGTCTCTGTCTTTGTCTCTTTCATCAGAAGAATTCCTATTCGGGTAACACGTGCCATGCTGACTTTTGGAGGTATTTTCAGGCTTCCAGGGATTAAAAGCCACGAGATAGGAAACCATCTCCTACAATCATCGGGGCCAATTAAGATATAAACCCTCTGAATGAAAACAGTATGAAGGCAGTTGATTGATTACAAAGATCTAAATTGGAATGGGCAAAATGATATTTATTATATTTCATTATATTTTGATGATAGGGATTTCACACAAAAAAAGAAAAGAATTTTATAGTATGAATGGTTCGTAGGTTTTCAAGAAAAAGAGGAGCATTATATTGTATACGAACGAAAAATAATAATTCCATAAAGAAAAGAAATTTAATCAACAGGATAAAAAGTGTCGGCTAGCAAAAAACTGCGATTAGAAGGATCCAAACTGTTCAGACCATTTTTGTTAAAGAATTGATTTTACCTCATTTTAAGCCTAATATACGCTGACATCGAAATTCAAATGTTGGCAAATGGAACTCAAATATACAGAGTTTATTGTTCACATCTCTCATTATTCACCATTCAATTTTATCACCAAATTGGTGGTCAAAGACAAAGAGATTTATTACAAGTCATTTTCCGCATTAAACCAGATTTCCCAAGTAAAATGAATATTTCTCAATGGATTTGAATGCGATAATGACTCACGTTGAAAAGGAGTTCACAAAGGGGAATTTGGGGTTGGATGTATACGTCGAGAAATGTATTCTAACTGACTTTTGCCTAGAATCAACATGTGGCATAACAATAATGTTCCACACTATCGCCCATGCTTGGTGTGCCAATAAACCACCAAATATTCGCCCCACTTTGAGCTTTGCCGCACGCATTCTCGTCCTCAAAAACTCGAAAGAGAAATGTCGCCATTCGAGGTGGTTAGCGATTGTTCACTTGTTGCTAAAACAAACTCAGAAATTCTTTGATTTCATTCATGGGACCTGTTTGATCTATGAAGCGATTAAACGGAGCAGAATTACATACTTTCGGTCGGGACGGTTTAGTGAGTGTCAAACCAACTGCGATGGGAAAGCAACTGTCAATGCAGCCTGCTAATACACAAATGAAACGATAAAGCATTTCTAATCTTCATCGCCTGTCAAATGGGACATTTAACTGTTCAGACACAGATACATTCAAACCTTTACAAAAAAGTGTCATTCGACTTTGTTTTCGTGTAAAACGTACGTCTGATTTGATCTGTGATAATGTTTGTTGTATTAAGTTTGCATTACAAATAAGGGGACTTACAGCTTATGGAGACAAGGAGATTTAAAATAATTTTGAATAGGAATAGGATGACTATTGCGATTCGATTGACCTTGTGTGGAATTAAAGCCATTTTTAGGAAAGGGGGTATTTTGCCTGTCAGATTTTATCGACTAATGAGAGCCATTTTACTCAATAGTTTCTCCCTACAAAAGGGTCATATAAGGACATCATTTTTCACCCCTCAAATAAATCTTGGTTAAAAATATTCGGTACATATTGTACATTGTTTCGCTTCCGGGATTTTTTTCAATCTGTATCACTATCGTGAAAGTTTACTCAGCTTTTCTGCAGCATTTGTAAATTTGCACAACCTCCCAGTCCACCATGTCCAACTGGTCCCAGTGCAATGGATACCCGCACCGTAGAGAGAAGCATGAATGCACGGCCGCACGGCAGCTGAGTGTGCGGGGAGCTCCGGGGCGGCGTGCACTGAGCGTTGGCATCAATGCTCAGGTAGCAGTAAAGACATGGTACAGCGTAGCGCGCCTAAATAGGTGGCGCCAAAGGATAAAAGCTTTAAAATGGCGCCTGGTTTTCATCGTAGTGTAGGGCCAATAGTGTGGCCTTGCGTCTACCGGATGAACTCGTATCCTACATGAGGGTAACAAGAATCAGTAATATACATAGTTCACAAGGTCATCATTACGTCTACTAAAGGGGGAGATGAAAATAATATAAAGCTGAAGACAAAAATACGAAGGACCTTCTTTTTACCTCGTCACATTTAAACTGTAGGTTTGCTCCCGTTGTTACAACTTTAAAATTGCCATAAACAAAGACGACAAAAATGTTTTAACAGCATACAAAACCTGTTAATCTGTCAGTTTTTCTCTTTCTCAATATTCAAATACCCACTCTTCACTTCTGTTAAGCATTTCTGCTGGCTTTTGCACTTAAATGACATGTACAAGAATATTTACGCCCCAAATCCGGGAAATAATCCACTGCTTTTGGCCCTTCAGGTTCCGCCACCCAAATTATTAAAAACATACTTTTGGTTTGTCAGTCCATGCCATAACGTGATGTGGAAACAAAAAGTCTCGTTTTTCCTTTATCGTACAATTGGTTTCCGTAGTTTATCGCGTACATGAAGTATAAAATCTATTTTGGTATCCATTACGAATCCATTTAGATGTCTCAATCTTCTCAAAGGCTATCGAGATTGATAGACTTTGAGACAACTGTAAGTTCTTTCGTAATGTTTTTATTTCAAGTATGTTTAGTGTGGGCTTAGCTTACATCGCTTTTTTCTCCATTAGTAGGGGGAATACTTTTTACAAATTATTCATTAAGAAATCAATTATTAAATCATTTATGAGATTGCTTTCCTAGTTTCCTATATTTATTGAGATCATAAACCACTTTATAAGAGCTAATGACTATAAGACAGCAGTTATATGTCAGTGTAACATTTACTTTTTTGGAGAGGGATCAGAATAGTTATGCCTAGCAAGATTACTAGATACTATATAATATGTATTTGTATCATACCGGGCTTATCTGGATACATTTGAGTGCGCCCCCCCCCCCTCAAACACACACACTCACATTCGCCCACATATGCCTACTTCCTAAATTGTCAAAATTATTTCCTTCAACGGAAACTGTTGTGACTTTGTAATAGTTGTTATTTGTACTGACAGGCAGAGTTTACATCTTAGCATCCGCATTTATTCCAACTTCTACCGATATGAAATCCAAAAATGAATGACTAATGTAGTAATAACTATTCTGTTTCTCGTAAGAAATAAGCCGGTGCAATTAAATTGTGTATTTTAACATTAGCCTATAAAGGAAACCACTTTCCAAACTTGCAGCAGGAGATAGAAACGAATAATTACAGGCATAGCAGAAGTAGTACATTAGTAGCATTTGTAACTGGAATAATGGAAATAGTAGTAGTTGTTGTAGTAATTGCAGTAATAGCAACAGTATTATCACTTGTAGAAAAACAAGTAGTAGTAGTAGTAGTAGTAGTAAAAGTAGTAGTGTATATGTAGTATCAGGAGAGCGATATATCTCCGTTAGATACCTCATGCACATTTCATTGCTACCCAGTTGTACAGAATTTAACAGAAATTATTTTTCTATTTTATTCTCGAGCCCACTAAATTGTGTTTCTTTTGTTTACGATCGAGCTCATCTCAGCGTAAACGATGTTGCGCTGACAGGGAGGGTCACTTCTATGGCTTTCCCACTATCGGCAACAAAGGGCATTTTAGTATATTTTGCTGCCCCATCTTCTTTGTTGATTGGTTTTTGTATGCTCTCGCAAAACAAGATAGTCGGGGATTCGTTCGACTGAATCGTAGAGACTGACCTTGCCCATGCCAAATGAATAATCTGTCTAGATTTTTAAAGATTTCTATGGACTTTTTGGAAAAAAATTGAATTAGCAACAGTATCAATAAACCGACTAAATAGTAAATACGCATTGTATGTATTAGTATTTATTGATTTTGAAAACTATTCTATTGATATTTGGTTTTTAATAGATATAGAAAAGTGTAAACCTGCAAAATGTGGAATATTGTGGGGGTCGTTGACTGATAAACACTTCATAATATATGAGACATGAGACATGAAAATTATATAAAATTACAAATTCTTGAAAACTTATTGCAAACAATGTACATTTTAGTATACAAAAGGGTCACCACTTGTATAGGAAACGCAATGTTGTTATTAAAGCATTTAGTACGCAAACTAAAGGGTTGTATATCTCTCAAAGGCGTTTATCAAAATATTAGAGTATAAAGCCTTCCATTTATAGAGGTAAGACAGTAAACACATGAAAACAGCATGCTTGTGACGGGTATGCCTGCATACAGAGCAACTATTACTATCAGAGAGCTTTGGCAATTATCGCTACAGGACTGGGCAGAATCGCACGCGCAGGAGCAGCGGGGTAGCTCGCCGCGCCATTCCGCATAACAGCCAGGGGCATGGGGAGCACAATTTACGCATATTTAAGAGGTGGAAATTGATTTCAATACAGGCTTTAATACACGCTGTTTTGGTCCCTTTCAGTGAAGGTGTTGGTGTGTTCTGTTATTAGTGTCACTTGGTGAATAGCACCGACCTCAGCCCAACGCCATTATGAGCATTTCCCTTGTTTTTAGTTG